CCCATCCTCATATATAAATATATTTTCATATGTACATGCCTTTATCTAGACCTCTATAAATGCCCTTTGCCTCCCAGCTCTTTCCTCTATTTCCCTTGACTTTCCTCCTGTCCCACTATCATGCAGTCCCCACTAGGGTTTCAGCACTTCCTCTTTGTTACATTCCCCTTGATCATTACCTACCAGGCCTCCCACACCCACCTCACCACCAATTTGGATCACTTGTTGTTCCCTTGTCCCTGGGTTTGTTAACAAACCTGGGGTTGTTAAAGTTCTACATAATGAAAAATAGCCTAATATGAAGACAGGCCAGAGTCCATATTTGAGATCTTGTAATAAACTAACAGTGTCACTGTTTGAGTTGTAATCAGCTCAATGGCCCTGGGTCATGATGGTGGTGGTGGTGTTAATACAAGTATACATACAGGATTTAGGAGTTTGTTATGATGAGATTTGGCAAAACATGCTATCATTGGTTTTGTTTATTTTATTTGGGCTCTAATAGATGATGTAGACCTGGGTTAAATTCTGCTGAGTCAGAACCAACTCAATAGCATTGGATTTTTAACAGTTATTGGCTGAGGTCACTTACATATCGTCTATTGTTATGTTGAGGGGATATTATTTTGTAGCCAATAGAAAAGTAGCTCCATAAAAGTGGGCACTATGTTCTCCTGGTCACATCTGCATACTTAGTATGTGAGTAGTGACTGGGGTCTTAAAAGTTTGTGATTAGCCCTCTGAAGTGCACCTGTGTGTCTCCCCTCACCTGAAGAAAGAAGGGAAGAGAAAGTCAACTACATAGGGAAAGAATTCGTTCCAAGAACTAATGGACCTCGACAACTGTTGAATAGAAAGCTCATTTGTTCTGTAAACTTTCACCCAAATCACTGTAAAATGTTTAAAAACAAAAAGACTGGCTGCTGTGACAATAGTCCAAAAGAGGGTGCGGCTCTGTGACTGCTGGTCCTGGCCAGGGCCTATCAGCGGCACCAGATGGCCTCAACACTGGCCCACCTTGAGGGAGCATCACCACAGCCCTGCCCATGCCAACCCTATCATTCGCAGTGGAAGCCTGGGGCTCAAGATAATGTGTCCTGGCCCAAGCAGGGCATGCTTTTTCCTGTCCTGTTGGGAAAATAAAGGCTGAGCCTGACCCTCAACCGGTTTTGGAATTCCCCTGAACTCAGACCAGATAAGGGATTGTTTTTTGAATTTAGAAATTAACTTGGGCGCACTTTAGAGAGCCTTATTTGGTGCACTTGTCTGGCTGATTTTCAGAGATTTCAACTTCACAAATAAAGTGGGGTCAATGTCTTCCCTCGGAGAAGCTGCTGGCTGTTGATGGTGCACAGATGTCTAAACACAGGTACAAGCCAGGCAGTGTTTTGGTGAGACTCACTGAAAGGAAACCCAGGAGAATTCTAAGAGCTTACTTTGGAATGAGGCTGCAAGGGCGAAGAAGCACTTTTAACACAAGTGAAGGCACAGCGCTGACCAGCAGATGCAAGAGTCTGTTCTCAATGATGTTGGCTCCTGGATGGAGCACCTGCCTGCGGAGGAGCCTGCTGCCCCTCTTGCTGCTGCTGCTCAGTCTGCAGAGACCCGCTGGGAGCTCTCAGGTAGGCAGCAAGCCACGTCGGGAGCTGATCTCTGTAGGAAGCACCCTCCAGATGCGCGCAACCACAGGCTACTGGGACGTAATGAATGTAATTTCATTCCGACATTTTAGCCAATAATGCCCGAGAACGGTGTGGGGAACGGTTATTTAAATGTGGGAGGCTTTACAGTTTATAAGTTTGGCTCTATAGAAGCTAACAGCCTTGTTATTTC